TTAAGTCGTAATTCATGCAGCCTCACACCTCACACCTCCTCACACCTTCATACATCTCCTCACACCTCCTCACACCTTCTTACACCTCCTCACACCTCCTCACACCTTCTTACACCTCCTCACACCTCCTCACACCTTCTTACACCTCCTCACACCTCCTCACACCTTCTTACATCTCCTCACACTTCCTCACACCTTCTTACACCTCCTCATACCTCTTCACACTGCATCACACCTCCTTACATCTCCTCACACCTTCTTACACCTCCTCACACCTCCTCACACCTTCTTACACCTCCTCACACCTCCTCACACCTCACAGCTCCTCACACCTCCTCACACCTAACACCTCCTCACACCTCACACCTTCTCACACCTCCTCACACCTATTCACCCTGCCTCACACTTCTTCACACCTCCTCACACTGCCTCACATCTCCTCACACCTCCTCACACTGCCTCACACTTCTTCACACCTCCTCACAACCCCTCACACTTCCTCACACTTTCTCACACCTCCTCACACTGCCTCACACCTCTTCACACCTCCTCACACTGCCTCACATCTCCTCACACCTCCTCACACTGCCTCACACTTCTTCACACCTCCTCACACCTCCTCAAACTTACTCACACTTCCTCATTCTTCCTCACGCCTCCTCACACTGCCTCACACCTCTTCACACCTTCTCACACTGCCTCACATCTCCTCACACCTCCTCACACCTCCTCACACTGCCTCACACTTCTTCACACCTCACACTGCCTCACATCTCCTCACACCTCCTCACACTGCCTCACACTTCTTCACACCTCCTCACACTGCCTCAGATCTCCTCACACCTACTCACACTGCTTCACACTTCCTCACACCTCCTCACACTGCCTCACACTTCTTCGCACCTCTTCACACTGCCTCATACTTCTTCGCACCTCCTCACACTGCCTCACACTTCCTCACACCTCCTCACACCTCCTCACACTGCCTCACACTTCTTCGCACCTCCTCACACTGCCTCATACTTCTTCACACCTACTCACACCTCCTCACACTGCCTTCAACCTCTTCACACCTCACACTGCCTCACATCTCCTCACACCTCTTCACACTGCCTCACACTTCTTCGCACCTCCTCACACTGCCTCATACTTCTTCGCACCTCCTCACACTGCCTCACACTTCCTCACACCTCCTCACACCTCCTCACACTTCATCACACTTCCTCACACTTCCTCACACCTCCTCACACTGCCTCACACTTCTTCACACCTCCTCACACTGCCTCACATCTCCTCACACCTCCTCACACTGCCTCACACTTCCTCACACCTCCTCACACTGCCTCACACCTCTTCACACCTCACACTGCCTCACACTTCTTCATACCTCCTCACACTGCCTCACATCTCCTCACACCTCCTCACACTGCTTCACACCTCCTCACACCTCCTCACACCTCCTCACACTGCCTCACACCTCCTCACACTGCTTCACAACTCCTCACACCTCCTCACATTGCCTCACACCTCTTCACACTGCCTCACACGTTCTCACACATCCTTATATCTTCTCACACCTCCTCACACCTCCTCATACTGCCTCAGACCTCCTCACACCTCCTCACACCTTCTCACACTTCCTCACACCTCCTCACACATCCTCACACCTCACACCTTCTCATACTTCCTCACACTGCCTCACACTGCTTCACACCACCTCAAACCTCCTCACACCTCCTTACACCGCCTCACACTGCTTCACACCTCCTCATATCTCACACCTCCTCACACTGCCTCACACCTCCTCATGTCTCACACCTCCTCACACCTCCTCACACCTCACACCTCCTCACACATCCTCACACCTCACACCTCCTCACACCTCAAACGTCCTCACACCTCCTCACACCTCTTCACACTGCCTCACACCTCCTCACATCACCTCGCACCTCCTCACACCTCCTCACACTTAATCACACCTAATCACACCTCCTCACACCTCCTCACATCTCCTCACACCTCCTCACACTGCTTCACACCTCCTCACACCTCCTCACACTGCCTCACACCTCCTCACACTGCTTCACAACTCCTCACACCTCCTCACACCTCCTCACATTGCTTCTCATCTCTTCACACTGCCTGACACGTTCTCACACCTCCTCACATCTTCTCACACCTCATCACACCTCCTCATACTGCCTCAGACCTCCTCTGACCTCCTCACACCTCCTCACACTGCCTCACACCTCTTCTCACTGCCTCACACCTCCTCACATTGCCTCACACCTCCTCACATTGTCTCACACCTCTTCACACTGCCTCACACCTCTTCACACTGCTTCACACCTCACACTGCTTCACACCTCACACAGAATCATACCAAGTCCCACCGACTCACTAATTCAATCAAACTCACACACGCGGGTTTACCGCTTTCTCTTGAACCAATTAACCCCCACGTTACAGCACTTACAGTAATCTAAAGCTTGTCTGTTAT